AACGCGAGTAGTCGTCAACCACCAACAGGAAGTAACGCTCGTGACCCTGTCCACGGACGCGGGCGGGGCCCCACACGTCCATGTGAAGAGTCTGCAGTGGAGCCTCTGTCGGAGGAAACTCGGAGGAGTGAGGGGCGGCGCGCTGTCGCCCCTCGACGCAGGGGACGCAGGTAGGGGCAGGCCCCGAAGGTAGGGGAGGTAGGGACCGGGGGAGACCAGAGACAAGGACACAGGAGGCCATGCCTCGGAGACGAGGCAGGGAGGGGTGACCAAGGCGGTGGTGCCAGAGGAGAGTCTGGTGGGACAGGAGACGACACGAGCAGGGCGCAGACTCAGGACCAGACCTGGACGCTGCAGCAAACACCTGACTCGACGCAGCTACCTGACCAGACTCAGTAACCGGAGGAGACTCAGTAGTCAGTGTGTACAGGCTCGACCCCGGCCGACGGGTAAACGTGGCCAAGTGTCGGCCCGTCCGAGCACACGTGCAGTGGGTCACCCCCTGACTCGCAGGAGTGAACTGGTCAACCCCCTTATCCTGTAGATCAGCTCCACTCACCAAGTTCGTAGAGAACGAGGGGAGGTAGAGACCTGACAGGGTGCCAGAGGGGGCTGCCGGGCACGGTAAGACAGTGGAGAAGCTAGCAAGGACAGGACCCCCAGAGGGGTCCGCCAGGGAGACCGCAACCGACCGACTAAGCGGCGTAAGCGTGGTGCGGTCTCGAAAGAAGGAGCGGGAAGCACTCGAGTCAAGGGTGAAGGTGTGTAAGGCCTGAGCCGACGTGGTACCTGAGAGAGCAGACTGACCAGCACCTGGAGCAGCAGACGCACCAGCACCTAGAGCAGCAGTCTCACCAGCACCTAGAGCAGCAGCCTCAATGCCCGGGTCAGGCGGAAGACACAGGTAACAGTCACCCTCATCACTAGTAGACACAGCATACATGGCAGCAAGAATAGCATCATAATCAAGATCAAAGATAGCAACCCCCGCCCTAGACAGCTCTCCCCAGCGAGGGATCTCAGTGGCGTCAGGGAACTGGTGACGCCACGCGTCCGTCAGGCGGCCGAAGCAGCGCCGGGTGGAGTGCGGGCCCCCGCACTGCTCACCAGCGCGGTCGCCGGTACGGAGGACGTAGGTGCAGGGACCAGTACTCCCACCTCGCTGACGCCCAGCGTACCACTCACGTAGCTGCTGGGGGGACGGGGTCTCATGACTGCGCTGCTGCTGCTGGCGCTGACCACCACCGGAGCCACTCCTCTGCGCAGAGCCGCGACCAGCTCCACCGCTGCCTCCGCCGCCTCCGCCACCTCCGCCGCCTCCGCCACCTCCGCCGCCTCCGCTCCCTCCGCCACCGCCGCCGCCTCCTCCTCCTCCACTGCTGCTACCGACACCTCCACCCCCGCCACCACTCCCACCACCACCCCCACCCCCTCCACTGCCTCCACCACCACCTCCACCGCCCCCGCCAGCCCCTCCAGCGCCCTTGCCCCCCTTGCCCTTGCCGGTGCGGCGTCTCCCGCTAGGGGCAGACGCAGCGCCGACCGACTCGAAACTAACGAGGTCGGCCGCAGCAGCAGAAGCAACAGAGGGCAAGAGGGGGGAGGGGGAACACCCCTCAAAGACGGGGGTGCGAGGGTCACCACGAGAGGCTCCTACAGCGACTATGCTCTTCTCTGCTGCTAGGAGGCGCTCCTCGAGGAGGTCAACGGTGAGTGTGGTGGGGCAAACTGAGAGGAAGTGGTCCCTGACTAAGCGAAGGGAGTCAGGGAGCCGGGTGACTATGTAGTAGAGGGTGATGTACATGGGGGGGGGGTTCTTGGCACAGAACTCAGCAGGAAGCGCAGCGCGGTAGCGAGTGTCACTAGTGCGAAGGTGCGTAATGAGGTCAGCGACTGTGGGAAAGGCAGCAAGGTCAGGGAACAGGTACGGCAGCATGAGGCGGCTAAGCGCAGCAGTGGCAGGGGAGGAGTAGCGTGCAACTACAGCATCGTACAAGGTCTTAGCACTCTTGTACTGGCTAAAGTGCGCACGCTCAGTGGTCGGTAAGTGGCGACGCACAGCAAGACGGGCAGCAGCATCGCGTGTGGCCCACTGTGAGCGAACAGTGCTGTCAGCAGTAGCAGGCGGGGCAGGAGAGGCACCAGAGGTGAGATCGAACAGGGAGAGTCCGTCAGCCCTATCGCACTGTAGGAACAGCTGGAGGTCATCGACCCAGACCTCAAAGTCAACAGCACGACCCTCAGCATCAAAGGTAAGGACACTGGGGGTAGCCATGACTGCAGTGGCCTAGCAGGGAGGGATCTCACCAGTCCGAGTAAGTAGGGCCGGGGCGCGCCGGTAGGAACAGTAGCGGCTCAGCGGCAGGGCGGCTCGGCGGCTCGGCTGCTGGGCGGCTCGGCGGCTCGGTTGCTGGGCGGCTCGGCGGCTCGGCGGCTCGGCTGCTGGGCGGCTCGGCGGCTCGGCTGTTGGGCGGCTCGGCTGCTGGGCGGCTCGGCAGCTCGGTTGCTGGGCGGCTCGGCGGCTCGGCTGCTGGGCGGCTCGGCTGCTGGGTGGTTCGGTTGCTCAGCTGCTGGGCGGCTCAGCGGTGAAGGGGCCGGTAGAGGCGGCGATGGGGCCGCTAGGGGCGGCAACGGGGCCGCTAAGGGCGGCGAGGTGGCCGCGAAGGGCGGCGACGGGGCCTCCAGGGGAGGCGACGGGGCCGCTGGGGGCGGCGACGGGGCCGCAGAGGGGCCGCAAGGGGCCTAGAGGGGCGGCGACGAGGCCGCGAAGGGGCCGTAAGGGGCCTAGAGGGGGCGGCGACGGGGCCGTAAGTGGCGGCGACGGGGCCGCGAAGGGGCCGCGAGGGGCCTAGAGGGGCGGCGACGGGGCCGCTAGGAGCGGTGACGGGGCCGTGAAGGGGCCGCGAGGGGCCTATAGGGGCGGCGACGGGGCCTAGAGCGGCGGCGACGGGGCCGTGAAGGGGCCGCGAGGGGCCTAGAGCGGCGGCGACGGGGCCTAGAGCGGCGGCGACGGAGCCTAGAGCGGCGGCGACGGGGCCGTGAAGGGGCCGCGAGGGGCCTAGAGGGGCGGCGACGGGGTCGCTAAGGACGGCGACGGGGCCGCTAAGGGTGGCGCGAGGGGCCTCTAGGAGGGCGCGACGTGAGGGCGGCCTACGGGGCACGCCTCGGGCAGAAAAAAAAAGATCGAGTTAGGTGGTGGGCCCTGAGAAGCGTTTCCACGAGGGAACCTGCTCTATACCATGTGAAGAATGAGGAATGAGTGAACTAGCAAGCAGTTGGGTACAAGTAGGAAAACCTAAAAGTGTTGTACCCCATATAGTCTACCCCACTACAGCCTACACAGACTATAGCAGATAAGTTTGACAAGAATATGAGAGGAGGGAGAGAGACAAGATGGTGAGGAGTGGGGTGGAGTTGGTAAGATTATAGTAAGTGTGAGAAAAGCGGGCAGCATCTCGTGATGTTATTGTACCGTCGTCCCTCACCACATACCACAACTGTCACCCACTCTCACCCTCCCCTCTCATTGCCCTCATCTCAATTGGGAATTTATCTAAAAATTCCCCGGCTACCCTTTCCCCCCTCCCTCCCCACCCCTCTGACAAACCTTGCCTCTTCCAAACCCCACTGTACCTCCTCCGATGCCAACAATCGACGGAATGCCGCCGGGTCGCCCGTCCCTTGGCAACAAAATCACGGTGTAAGGAGAAGGACACTATACACCTATAGGTGGAGGCGAAAAGTGTGTGCAAACTGTTGAATTGACACTTATGCTCAATGTGTTCTCATGTGCTCAAGCCTATCAACTCAACCTTATTTGCTCTCAATCTCATGTTCTCAAGCCATCTCCTCAAGCCCATCAACTCAACCTTGTTTGCTCTCATTTGGATGGTGTGTGCTAGGTGCTGTTGGGTGGTGGGAGCTGGATGGTGTGTGCCAGGTGCTGTTGGGTGGTGGGAGCTGGATGGTGTGTGCTAGGTGTTGTTCGGTGGTGGGAGCTGGATGGGAAACGACCATCTTAAGTGCGCAGGGGCATATGCCTAGTGCGCGTTGCCTAGTGACAGTTTGGCCTGACAAAAGGAATACGCTGCTAATTCTCAGAATAACAGGCAAGCGGACTCTACTCACCACAGAAGGCTGGAAGGAACCAATCATGGTAGCAGGCAGGCAGGCGGGCAGGCGCACGGGCAGGCGGGTGGGCAGGCAGACGAGCGAGCAGGCAGGCAGGCAGGCAGGCAGGCAGGCAGGCAGGCAGGCAGGCAGGCAGGCAGGCAGGAAGGCAGGCAGGCAGGTAGGTACGCAGGCAGGAAGGCAGGAAGGCAGGCAGGAAGGCATGCAGGCAGGTAGGCAGGCAGGCAAGCAAGCAGGCAGGCAGGCGGGCAAGCAGGCAGGCAGGCAACCAGGCAGGCAGGCACGCAGGCAGGAAGGCAGGCAGGCAGGCAAGCAGGCAGGCGAGCAGGCAGGGAGGGAGGTGGGCAGGCAGGGAGGAAGGTAGGCAGGCAGGGACGAAGGTAGGCAGGCAGGGAGGGAGATGGGGCACACCTCTGTAATGTGTGGGCAGAACCTTAGCAACTAGAATTCCAACAGCTTCTACAGGTGAAAAGTTTCATCAAAATATTGGTGCTCCAGCACAAGCTGCATACGGGCAGAGGTTGAGGGGAATTGCAGAGGCACAAGTGATTTGCAAATGAGCTGGAAAAGCAGAGGTAGTTTTGTACAACAAGCAAGGGATAGTTGTGAAAGGGCACGGAGTATGGAAATGCCGATGCAAGCGTGCAAGTGAGGAGTAAAGCCCTGTGTCACTTCCCTTTTGATGAATACTGTCAGCTTTGATTTGAGTGCATTCAGTCAAGTAGTAAGATGGATGACTTGCATGAATAGAATGAGCGGATTGATTCAAATGAGAATAAGACGACTGAGTCTAATGAGTGGAAGGAGGGGAATGAATCAATCGGTGGAACGTGGGGAATGCGTCAAATGAGGGGAATGAGGATGATGAGATGAATGAGGATGATAAGGGGAATGAGGATGACGAGGGGAATGAGGATGATGAGCGGATTGATTCAAATGAGAATGAGACAAGTGGGTCTAATGAGTGGAAGGAGGGGAAGGAATCAAATGCGTGGAACGAGGGGAATGCGTCAAATGAGGCGAATGAGGATGATGAGGGCAAGGTGGATGATGAGGTGAATGGGGATGATGAGGGGAATGAGGATGATGAGGGGAATGAGGATGATGAGGCGAATGCGGATGATGAGGGAAGTGAGGATGATGAGGTGAATAGAGATGATGAAGCGAATGAGGATGATGAGGCGAATGACGATGATGAGGCGAATGAGGACGATGAGGGGAATGAGGATGATGAAGCGAATGGGGATGATGAGGCGAATGGGGATGATGAGGCGAATGGGGATGATGAGGCTAATAGGGATGATGACGCGGATGAGGATGATGAGGGGAATGGGGATGATGAAGGGAATGAGGATGATGAGGCGAATGAGGATGATGAGGGGAATGAGGATGATGAGGCAAATGAGGATGACGAGGCGAATGAGGATGATGAGGGGAATGGGGATGACGAGGGGAATGAGGATGCCGAGGGGAATGAGGATGATGAGGGGAATGAGGACGATGGGGGGAATGGGGATGATGGGGGGAATGGGGATGATGTGGCGAATGGGGATGACGAGGCGAATGGGGATGACGAGGGGAATGGGGATGACGAGGCGAATGGGGATGATGAGGGGAATGAGGATGATGAGGGGAATGGGGATGATGAGAGGAATGAGGATGATGAGGGGAATGAGGATGATGAGGGGAATGGTGATGATGGGGGGAATGAGGATGATGAGGGGAATGAGGATGATGAGGGGAATGAGGATGATGGGGGAATGGGGATGATGGGGGGAATGGGGATGATGAGGCGAATGGGGATGATGAGGTGAATCGGGATGACGAGGGGAATGAGGATGATGAGGGGAATGAGAATGATGAGGCGAATGAGGATGATGAGGCGAATGAGGATGATGAGGCGAATGAGGATGATGAGGGGAATGAGGATGATGAGGCGAATGAGGATGATGAGGGGAATGAGGATGATGAGGCGAATGAGGATGATGAGGGGAATGAGGATGATGAGGGGAATGAGGATGATGAGGCGAATGAGGATGACGAGGGGAATGAGGATGATGGGGACGAACAGGACGATGAGGCGAATGGGGATAATGAGGCGAATGGGGATGATGAGGGGAATGGGGATGATGAGGCAAATGGGGATGATGAGGCGAATGGGGATGATGAGGTAAATGAGGATGATGAGGGGAATGAGGATGATGAGGTGAATGAGGCTGATGAGGCGAATGAGGATGATGAGGGGAATGAGGATGATGGGGCGAATGAGGATGATGAGGGTAATGAGGATGATGAGGCGAATGAGGATGATGAGGGGAATGAGGATGATGAGGGGAATGAGGATGATGAGGCGAATGAGGATGACGAGGGGAATGAGGATGATGGGGACGAACAGGACGATGAGGCGAATGGGGATAATGAGGCGAATGGGGATGATGAGGCTAATGGGGATGATGAGGCGAATGGGGATGATGAGGCGAATGGGGATGATGAGGTAAATGAGGATGATGAGGGGAATGAGGATGATGAGGTGAATGAGGCTGATGAGGCAAATGAGGATGATGAGGGGAATGAGGATGATGAGGGGAATGAGGATGATGAGGCAAATGAGGATGACGAGGGGAATGAGGATGATGGGGACGAACAGGACGATGAGGCGAATGGGGATAATGAGGCGAATGGGGATGATGAGGCTAATGGAGATGATGAGGCGAATGGGGATGATGAGGCGAATGGGGATGATGAGGTAAATGAGGATGATGAGGGGAATGAGGATGATGAGGGGAATGAGGATGATGAGGTGGGAATGAGGATGATGAGGCAAATAAGGATGAGGGGAATGAGGATGATGAGGCGAATGAGGATGATGCGGGGAATGAGGATGATGAGGGGAATGAGGATGATGAGGCGAATGCGGATGATGAGGGAAGTGAGGATGATGAGGTGAATAGAGATGATGAGGCGAATGAGGATGATGAGGCGAATGAGGATGATGAGGCGAATGAGGATGATGAGGCGAATGAGGACGATGAGGGGAATGAGGATGATGAAGTGAATGGGGATGACGAGGTGAATGGGGATGATGAGGCGAATGGGGATGATGAGGCAAATAGGGATGATGACGCGAATGAGGATGATGAGGGGAATGGGGATGATGAAGGGAATGAGGATGATGAGGCGAATGAGGATGATGATGGGAATGAGGATGATGAGGCAAATGAGGATGACGAGGCGAATGAGGATGATGAGGGGAATGGGGATGACGAGGGGAATGAGGATGCCGAGGGGAATGAGGATGATGAGGGGAATGAGGACGATGGGGGGAATGGGGATGATGGGGGGAATGGGGATGATGTGGCGAATGGGGATGACAAGGCGAATGGGGATGACGAGGGGAATGGGGATGATGAGGCGAATGGGGATGATGAGGGGAATGAGGATGATGAGGGGAATGGGGATGATGAGGGGAATGAGGATGATGAGAGGAATGAGGATGATGAGGGGAATGGTGATGATGGGGGGAATGAGGATGATGAGGGGAATGAGGATGATGAGGGGAATGAGGATGATGGGGGGAATGGGGATGATGAGGGGAATGGGGATGATGAGGCGAATGGGGATGATGAGGCAAATCGGGATGACGAGGGGAATGAGGATGATGAGGGGAATGAGAATGATGAGGCGAATGAGGATGATGAGGCGAATGAGGATGATGACGCGAATGAGGATGATGAGGGGAATGAGGATGATGAGGCGAATGAGTATGATGAGGGGAATGAGGATGATGAGGCGAATGAGGATGATGAGGGGAATGAGGATGATGAGGGGAATGAGGATGATGAGGCGAATGAGGATGACAAGGGGAATGAGGATGATGGGGACGAACAGGACGATGAGGCGAATGGGGATAATGAGGTGAATGGGGATGATGAGGCTAATGGGGATGATGAGGCGAATGGGGATGATGAGGCGAATGGGGATGATGAGGCGAATGGGGATGATGAGGTAAATGAGGATGATGAGGGGAATGAGGATGATGAGGTCAATGAGGCTGATGAGGCGAATGAGGATGATGAGGGGAATGAGGATGATGAGGGGAATGAGGATGATGAGGCGAATGAGGATGACGAGGGAAATGAGGATGATGGGGACGAACAGGACGATGAGGCAAATGGGGATAATGAGGCGAATGGGGATGATGAGGCTAATGGGGATGATGAGGCGAATGGGGATGATGAGGCGAATGGGGATGATGAGGCGAATGGGGATGATGAGGTAAATGAGGATGATGAGGGGAATGAGGATGATGAGGGGAATGAGGATGATGAGGCAGGAATGAGGATGATGAGGCGAATAAGGATGAGGGGAATGAGGATGATGAGGCGAATGAGGATGATGCGGGGAATGAGGATGATGAGGGGAATGAGGATGATGAGGCGAATGAGGAGGATGAGTGGAATGTGTTAGAGGGCCCTACGATAGCATGGGCCCTCGCGATATGTTTGACTTGGCAGGTCGGCACCTGGCGACGTAGTCTACTATGCTCCGACGCATGAGTTCGGTGGTGGTCGGGTGTGACTCCGTATGACTATGTGCAGCTGCGCAGGAGTCCGCGTGAAGAAGCACGAGTCCGTGGTAGTTGTTGGTGCTTCCTTGAGAGTCACACCACTCCTTGCTGTGTTGGTGGAGTGGTGTGCACGGAAGCGGGATGCCGCTGCTGAGTTGGGTTGGGAATTGTGCGAGTCGCGTTCACCCACCCGCACACCACTTTCGTGGGGTTGGGTTACACCGAAGCGCCACGCAACATCTGTGCAACTCTTGCTTGCCTATATTTGCATGTGTGTTTGCTTTTGCATTCATGGATCATATTACATTTCTAGTGAAGTCCAATTGCTACTCGAATTCTCACCAAGTCCTTGGAGACGAACGCTACTGAAACGCTACCGAGTTGCTGCCGCAACGCCGTTCTCATTGCAGAAACTCTCTCGCTATCGCTACGCTCTCCATTATATTCCTTCATGGTGCGGTGAGCGTGGAATGAACACGCATAGATTTCCATGGTCGTTTATATTCTCGTTCGTATACTCGGCTTTACGTGCGGCGTTTAGTAAAGGGCGCTCATTAATTTAAGTTGAACCTCTCTTAATTTCCCTCGAGTTACGTTCTCGGACCCAAGGATAGGGCGTTTGGTAATTTATTACCACTCGTCTGGGGACCCTTGTAAGGTGACCCCGAGACGAGGGATTTAGAGAAGGGACACTTTATTTTTATTTATGGTACCTTATAGAGACATCGTAGAGGATGAGTACGGAGGAGGCGAACGTGGAGGCCTGTAATTTGCGCACCCTAGACGAGGATCTCTGTCAAAATGATATATTGTTTACTTTGTGTAGGCTATAGTGGGCTAGCCCATAAGGGGTACAACCCAATTAGGGTTAGTACTTGTACCAAACTCTTTCACAGTTCACTCATTCTCGTTCATTATTTTTACATGGTTCCAGAGCAGGTCCTTCCCTAGGACCGTTTTTTTTCTAGGGCCCACCACAGCGCTGCCCCACTAGCTGCCCTGTTGCCCTGCCCTACCTGGCGCACCGCCCTTAGCTGCCCGTCGCGCCGCCCTTTGCAGCCCGCGTGCCGCCGTTAGCAGCCCGCGAGCCGCCCTTGCTGCGTGCGCGACGCCTTTAGTAGCCCGGGCGCCGCCCCTGCAGCCAGTGCGCCGCCCCTGCAGCTGCGCGCCGCCCCTGCAGCCCCGCGCGCCACCCTTACAGCCCCGCACGCTGCCTATGCAGCCCCATGCGCTGCCCCTGCAGCCCCGAGCACCGCCTCTGCCGCCCGCGAGCCGCTTGTCTGCGGCCCGCTCGCCGCCCTTGCAGCCAGCGCGCCGCCCGCTTGCGGCCCGCCCGCCGCCCCTGCAGCCCGTGCGCCGCCAGCTTGCGGCCCGCCCGCCGCCCCTGCAGCCCGCGCGCCGCCCGCTTGCGGCCTACCCGCCGCCCCTGCAGCCCGTGTGCCGCCCACTAGCAGCCTGCCTGCCGCCCCTGCAGCCCGCTCGCCGCCTGCCTGGGGCCAGCTCGCCGCCCTTGCAGATCGCTCGCCGCCCCCCCTGCCGCCCCTTGCAGCCCGCTTGCCGCCCCTCTTGCAGCCTGCGCGTCGCCACTTGCAGCCCGCTCGCCGCCCCTTGCGGCCCGCTTGCAAACCCCCCCTGCCGCTTGAACCGCCCGGCTCCTGCCCGCCCTGCTGCTGGCCACCCTAGCTGTGCGCCGCTCTACTCTGCCTGCATGCTGCTCTGCTGGTAGCGCGCCACCCTCCTCTGCCCGCTATGGCTTCTCTCCGTGTCCTCATGTTCAATCATGAGGGCCGTCCGATCCAGTTCGACACGTGGCTTGACGACTTACAGCTGTACCTACTAAGCGACTCTAGAGACAGGGTTTTGTTGTTTGACCACATGTCTGGAGCCTCTCTCGCCCCTCCCGCCACAGCTGACAGTGCGACTCGCTCACAGTGGCTTACCCGTGACGCTGCTGCTCGCTTAGCCATTCGCAACCACCTGCCGTTATCCGAATGCACTCACTTCGAACAGCACAAGACTGCTAAAGCACAGTACGCCGCTGTAGTCGCTCGTTACTCCTCCCTGTCAAACTTATATCTACTATAGTCTGTTTAGGCTGTAGTGGGGTAGTCCTTAGAGGGTACAACACTTTTGTGTTTCCTACTTGTACCCTTCTGCTTTCTAGTTCATTCATTCCTTTGTTTCTTCACACTCCCCTGCCACTGCTGCTCTAGGCCGTCTTCTACTGCCCTACATGTTTCCCGAGCTGTCCGCCTTTGCCACGGTAGAGGACCTCGTTACCCACCTTCGCACTAGCGACGCTCGCTACCGCGCTGCCCTCCCAGCACAGTTCCTTAACAGGAACCCACCCCCGATGTACATCACTCTCTACTTCATAGTCACCCGCCTCCCTGACTCTCTTTGCGCAGTCAGGGACCACTTTCTCGCACTTGACCCCACAGACCTCACTGTTGACCTGCTCGAGCAGCACCTCCTTGCAGCTGAGACTAGTATAGTCGCTGTAGGTGCCGCTCGTGGCACTCCTCACACGCCCTTCTTTGAGGGGTGTTCTGTTAGAATAACAAGAATGATGCATTAGCTGAAAAAGGGGGGGGGGTACAAGTAGAGTGTCGAGAGAAATTCTGTACCCCCTGAGGCTAAACCCATCACAACCTAGAGAAATATAAATACATATGTTTGACACACCCCCATAGGCGAAGTGGGGGATAGCAAGAGCAAGCAATGGTCACAAGACCAGTCAAGAGAAGAAGCAAAGCAAAGCAAGCTCAGGGTGGATCACAAAGTCACAATACAGTCCGAGCACAAGCAAAGGGCCACAAGGCCAGTTCACATGCAGAGTTATATAACGAGAACAAACAATACAGTCATCATACCCTAACAAGTGCAAGCATGCAGGTATATATATAGATCACATTACAAGCAGAGTCAGGCAGTAAGCAAGTGAGGCAAAGTAGGCACAAGGCCTAACACAGTAACAAAGCGCTGACGATCACCAGGCCGAAGTGCCTTGGTGAAGACATCAGCAGTGTTGGCCCGAGTGGCCACGTACGCAAGACAAAGCTGGCCACGCTGCTGCAACTCTTGAGCAAGGAAGTATCGCAGAGCGATGTGCTTCGTTCTGTGCTCAAGTCTGTGCTCCTAACACAAGGCAATCATGGCCTTGTTGTCTACATACAGAACTGGTGGCGAACGAGGCTGCTCTCCCAAGTCGGTCAGCAGGTAGGTGAGCCAGCGTAGCTCCTGAGCAGCCATGGCCCCGGCGTAGATCTCAGCCTCACAACTGGGGATGAGAACCGAAGACGAGCGGGTAGACCGCCAAGAAACAGAGACGGAACCGAGGCTGAAGGTGTAACCCTGTGACGACCGCTGCGTAGTTGAGTCATCAACCCAAGAGGCGTCTGCGTGACCGGTGAGGACAACTGGACCCCATCCTCCAAGCACAAGCCCCATGCCTGACGTACTGCACAAGTAACACAGTACCCTCTTCACAGCATCCCAGTGCACCTTTCGGTGCCAGCCGGGAGCCACGTAGCGAGCCAGGAGGCTGAGAGGGTACGCGAGGTCGGGTTGAGTGCACGTCATCAGGTACATGAGGCAACCCACAAGCTCTGGGTACAGACCACTCGGCTCTACAGACTCGTCCGAAGGTGGAGCTGAGAGCGAGTGGCTGGTGGACAGAGGAGTGGGCTGTGGCGAGGAGTACTGGAAGCCGAAGCGCTGAAGGATGTGGTGCACCATGTGTGACTGAGTCAGTGTGATGGTGCGCCGTGCTCTGTCCTGGGTGATCTGCAGGCCAAGATAGCTGCGCAGTTCACCCAGGTCAGTGCAGGTGTGTCTCTTCTGCAGCTCGGACTTCACAAGGGCCAGTGCCTCAGTGTCAGCAGTGGCAAAGACGAGGTCGTCGACGTACACTAGGACGGAGAACGACGGCAGCGAGGTGTCGGTGCGTAGAAACAGCGACGGGTCTGCTGTAGAAGGAGCAAACCTAAGAGCAGCAAGTGTAGTCCTCAGTGTGTCGTGCCACTCGCGAGGCGCTTGGCAAAGACCGTAGACTGGCCGGCGGAGGCTCCACTAAGTACCTGCAGGAAACGTCCCAGTGAAACCAGGTGGTCGGCGCAGCCAGATCTCCTCGTGCAGGCTGCCCTGCAGGAAGGCTGTACTGAAGTCCAGGGAAATCTGCAGGCCAAGGTAGTGCTGCAGCTTACCAAGGTCAGTGCAAGTGTGTATCCTCTGCAGTTCCTCCTTCACGGAGGCCCGTGCGCGTCGGTCGGGAGTGGCGAAGACCAGGTCATCAACGTAGACCAGGACAAAAAACGGGGTTGAGCCACGGCGGACGAATAGTGACGGGTCGGCAGACGACGGAAAGAAGTCAAGCGCTGCAAGGGTCGAGCAAAGTGTGTTGTGCCAGTCACGTGGAGCTTGGCGCACGCCGTAGACTGGTCGACGGAGCTGCCACTGGGTCCCAGGTGGGAAAGAACTAGTAAAGCCAGGCGGTCGACGTAGCCAGATCTGCTCGTGCAGGCTCCCCTAAAGGAACGCAGTCAAAAAGTCCAAGGAGTGCAACTCGTACTCGTGCTGAGCTGCAATATGCAGCAACACCCGAAAAGTAGTCAACTTCGGGGTGGGAGCGAAGGTCTGGAAGAAGTCTACCCCCTCTTGGTGTCTGAAGCCTCTCGCCACACAGCACGCCTTGAACGCCGGTGGTGATCCAGGCAGCCGCTTCACCTTGTAGAGCCATCGGCCACTGACAACGTTCGTCCGAGGTGGTGGGACTGCATCGACGTAGGTGCCTGTGGACCTATAAGATGCCATCTCTGCCTCCTCAGGTGCTACCCAGTACGAAGCCCAGGGTCCCGAGACTGCCTCGGCGTGGGTGCGAGGGATCGGGATGTCAAGGGCGTCTGGATCCCCCTCGGGGGTAAGCAGCAAGGCGCAGAGATGAGGAACAGCGGCCGCAAGGAAACCAAGCTCGAACTACCTGTCCTCAAGGACCTCCAGGGGAAAAAAGGAGCACCCTCAGAGGACGGAGAATGAGCAGGGCCACTCACCAA